AAAATGTAACATTTGAGTTTGAAATTACGTTTATGTGTCGAAAAAAAGATGACGGGCTAACGCTTGAATTTGCCTAATAATACTATGAGTGATTTGTGAGCATTCTTTGGGAAAATACTATTCTACTACTATTACTACTACTACTAATAATAATAATAGTAATAATAATAATAAAAAATAATAATAATGGAAATAATAATAATGTCTTATGGCTGTCAATAAAATTTATATTTATTTATTTGTTTCATTCATGAATTTCGGACCACACATCAAGTGTCCAAGTGTCCTTCCAAGAACAATTAAATAATTTATAGCTACCACCGATGGGGATAATAATAACAAATACTCCCTCCATTTTGAAATATAAGGCGTATAAAGATTTCTCATTTTTTTTGAAATATAAGGCGCGCTCAAAAATCAAGACAAATTTTTGCATTTTTTTCCAAATTTACCCTTATTGTGTTGAAATTAAGGAAGTGTGGAGTGGTTGTGATTAGAGTAAATAAGGTTAATTTAGTCAATTTATTCATTAATTAATGTCTCCTTAATATTTGTGCAATAACCTTAAATGCCTTATATTTCAAAATGGAGGGAGTAGTAAGTTGCCATAAAAAATAAAACAAAATAAACCATCAAATCTTAAATGTAAGAATCCTGCCAAGAGCAATTTAATATTTATAGCTACCAGGCACCGATGCTATAAAATACAGCCTCTCTCGACTCCACTCTCTCCAGTAGTCTGCTCTAAAAATAAATAAATATTATTCTGTATTTTGTTCATCTTAACAATATGTTGACCAACTTGGAAGGAGAAAACACATTACGCATCACAGATTCACAACACAACATTATAGATTTGTCTAGATAAAAACTAAAAACAAAAAGACCAAAACACACAACAACGAAGATGAAAGGAGGGTATACTAAACTCATAAATGACATGGGGAGTCTTAACTGCGGAAGTCGGGTTTAGAATGACAACCACTATTAAAATCTAGTTAAATGAATATTGACCTGCCTCTTAAAAATTGAACCCAAGTTGAAATATTTTCACGGGTGCATAGGTACATAGGTACTTAACAACAACGATAATAACAAGATTTTATAACATAACACACGAAGAATTAGCGTATGTTTTTATTATCGTAAGGTCGATTGTTGTTACAGGAAGTCGGTTTTTATCGAATTCGAGTTCTTTATGCGAGAACTTAATGTTACAAAAAAGAATCCTCGTACAGAAGTTAATCCTGCTATTTATAGTAACTTTCGGCCCGCCATTTGAGGTTGGTACGACATCATTTAAAGCAAAGTGGCTTTACGATAGCGATTATTCTGCAGGTGGGCCTACATGTTATGATTGGGGCACGTGTGACAAGCGATTGGATAGTTGACGCCTTGTCATCATTGATTTCGACCTCGACCTCAGAAATGGATCCCGGTTTCTCATGGAAGTCGGTCACCATGAGACTAAGTCGGTTTACCGAGTTTAACCATGTTTTGCTTGAATTTGATGGTTAATCTTCTCTTTAGTGTCTTTAAGTCTGGCTGATCAGGTCGGTTGCCAACACCCTACATGCTTTTTCACCTTTAATTGATACATAATCACACACACCCACCCACATGATTGTGTGTGAAATCAAAGGTGAAAAAACAAACATCGAAATTTTCTTAAGACACACCCTCTAATGATATTGTGTTTTACAACAATTGTTTTGGGCCTAAGCCCATCTTTATATCCACCTCAATCTAACTCAACTTAATAATAAAAAATTATTTCTCTATCATCTACGTACACTATTCAACTTTACAACTCAACTTATCATTATCCCCAACTCAATTGAACATAAATATTTATTTTAATTTCATTTATTTATTTTTAAGTATTATCTACAATTAATTTTTTTTATTGTTTTAATTGTGAAAAATTAATTAAAAAAATTTAACAAAAAAAAATATTTTACCATACAATTAAAAAATGAACCTAATTAAAAATTGAAATTACAAAACAAGTTTCAATAAATTATTAAATTTCGGAAAATGTTTTATGAGTTTTGGTATTTTCAAAAGGAAAAAATTGAGTAAAATTCGGAAAAAATAATTCATGAGATAATTTTCAAAATTTGAATAATTTCAAGACTTTGACAAATTTCAAGAGTTGGGATAATATTAAAAAATTTGGATTTATATACTACTTGTTGAAAATTATAAAAAAATAAAAGAGATAATAAAATTAACAAGGTAAGATCAAGGAAAGAGCGAAAATAGTTTTTTTTTTTCAAAACCTATCAAATGTGGTCTTCATTTATATAGAACAGAAAAATATAAAATTTGGTGTTTTTACTTTTTTTAATACAAATTAACACTAATTATTATCATTTATATTTATTTAAAATTATCTTATTAAATATCTAATCATCCAATAGGAACGAGACAAATGTCGTCAGCAGTCTGATGACATATTTTACACGATTTTTTTCATTTTTTTCTTTCTTATGTTTGTCATTTTTTGGATGGCCCAAGACCGATAAATATGGTACAACACGCATAAGGATATCGGTATGGAACATCTAGGGTGTGATTGTTTATCAATCCAATTAAAAAAAACCAATCAAAACTCAAATTTAACTCAACTTTAACTCAACTCCACTATCTCCATTATTACCAATATAATTAAATAATACCAACCAATCATTCTTACACATCACATCAACTTTAATTCACTATTCATACACTCACATAATTTTAACTAACCACTACTTCCAATCATTTTTCTCTTACTTTTACATCATATCAACTTTAATTATTTTATTTTAAATATTATTTTAATATATCCACTAACAACTAACCATACTAACTTTTTTTAAAAGTAACTATAATAAAAAAAAACCAATTAATTTATAGATGAATTGATAAACAATCAGCCCTAGTCTGCAACACAATGAAGTTCCGTACGTGAATCTTTCAACAAGCACCTCATCATAAATTATCACCATAATTCAATTTGCAAAAAGGCTCGAAATTAATTTCTCTTTACTTGTGAGCTTGGATTAATCGTGTTAGTTTACCAACCAATAAAAAAAATGGCTTTTCATCATACATAAGCCTCCCACATATGACATAATGTACATCATAATTAATTAATTATTATACCTCCATTTGTGTAAATAATTAACTCATGACTGTTTAATTCAGACCATTTCATGTGAAAAAAAATTATCTACTCTCAACTTTGCTACAAGAAAATAACAGAGTTAGTTTTCCTATTTGTGTCTGCGGATGAACCGTTTGATAATATGCCTCTTAGAGATCAACTATTTGTGTCGTGAACTCGTATTCACCTTAACTCATGACTGTTCAATTCAGACTCTTAGGGGTGATTGGATATGAATTCAACTAGTAAAAATTTAGTTTTTTTTAACTATAGTTAAGTTTGAAAAAAAAGTGGTATGGTTAGTTGTTAGTGGATATATTAAAATAGTATTTAAAATAAAATAATTAAAGTTGATTTGATGTAAAAGTAAGAGAAAATGATTGGAAGTGATAGTTAGTTAAAATTATGTGGGTGGATGAATAGTAAATTAAAGTTGATGTGATGTGTAAAAATGATTGATTCATATTATTTTATTATATTCATAATATTGAAAATAATGGAGTTGAGTTAAAGTTGTGTTAAATTTGAGTTTGAATTAGATTTTTTACTGTACAATTCATATACAATCACCCCCTTTAACTTTCACTCATCTGCAGATGGAAAACACACAAGTAGGATTCAATTCAACAAACAAAATTACAATCTCTCAGTAAATACCAAAAAATAAAAAAAACAGCTCCATTCTATGGCCAAAACTCAAAACCCAAGCTCACACTTCAATGGTCTTCTCATTCAGGGCCGCGTACCTCCACCTCTCCTTCTCCACAAAATCCGCATCCAAAAACCGGGCCACGAAAGCCCACAGCCTGTACACATCCTCGAAATTCGCCAAGAAACTCAGCGCCACACTCACCGCTTTAATCCCCACACCACCCTTCTCACTTTCACCTTCTCCACACCTCTCCAAAACCCTCTTCTTCGCCTCTTCAGACTTCTCCCCGAACCAAACGTGGCTCAATACTCCGCACCCCACCGAAATATTACTCCTGTCCGCCAGCTTCTGCACAAGAACCGGCTCGACTTTCTCCCCTTTCCAATCGTAGATATTAAACGCCAAAGCGGGCCCCCGGTCGAACTTCACCTTGGGCCCGTAAATCGCCACCAACGGGAAATTCTCGAGCCTGTTCGTGTGCTGAAGCTTCGTTAGCGCACTCACCAGCCAGTTTATCAAGTACCTTCCCCTACAGCCAACAAGCATCAGCCCCAACGAGTCCACTTGGTCCAAGCACCGGCATTCGATATCCACGTCATCCTCTCGATTTATCTCGATTTCCTTGTCGGCGCCCGATGAGGAATCTTCCGGAAGAAAAAGAATATTCCTCGGTGGCGGAGTAATGGACACGATTCCTCTGCTTGATGATTCGAGAAGAATCGGGATTATTGATTTTTTCACAAAGAGGCATCCGAATCCAGTCGGGTTCTCCCCAAACACTCTGTAGAACGAGCAGACGAGGAAATCAGGCCTGAAGAGCGAAAGCCCGAAGCTGTCCATGTCTTTCGGGCCCAACGAGCATGCGTCAAGCAGGACATGCCAGCCGTGCTCCCGAGCCTTTTTCATCCACTGGTACGAGTAGCTGGCCCCACTCAGAACCGACTGAAGTGGGAACACGAAAAGCCCGCGTTTTTTCTCTTTCTTGCTGCTGTAGTTCTTTTTCCGGACGAGCATTTTTCTGAGTCCTGCAGAGTTTATTCTCAGCCTCGGCCATTTGAACTCGGCCGACATCACGCGGGCCCCTCTCCTTTCCGAAATATTCGCCAATGCATTCAGAGCCTCGCTGTCGTGATCGTAAACGGTCAAAAGTTTACGGTTCGTCTGGAAAGGGTACGACTCGGCCACAAGACGAAAGGCTGCCGATTTATTAGCCGTGAAAACCATGCTGTACTCGTCGCGCGAGAGGTTCAGAAAGTCGGTTATTCGTTTCTCGATCGCTGACTCGAGCTTGTTGTACCCTTCTCGTCCGTGAAGGTCGAGAAGCTGTGACTTTAAACTCGCGGGCTTGAAATTCACGCCGAACAACGCGTAATCGGGCTGTGAGGCCCGTTTCGGGTTTGGTATGATTGAGGCGTATTGGGATTTGACTTGGGATTGGGAGAAGAGGCCGATTCCGATGTAGTCGAGGCAAACGTGGTCTGAGAGGGAAAGGTGGGAATATTCGCGGACTCGTATTCGGTCGATGGGGGCTGTGTCGGAGTATTTTGGGTAGGTTTTGATGAACTCGACGAACGATTCTTGGAGTGTGGGGATGGAGTCGTGGGTCGTGAAGTGAGTGTTCGGGAAGAGGGAGGAAGTGGTGGAGGCGGCAAATTCACGGCGACAGGTGGCGGCGGAAGTGCTCTGGAGTTTCCGGCAGGGAGGCTCGTTTTCGTGCTCCGGCGGTGGTTTGGAGACGGGGTTCGGACAACAACCTCGGAGCCAGAGTTTCGCTGCTGCCGGCTTCTGACCAGGTGAAGAATGCATTTTTTTTTTTGAGTGATTTTTTTTCTTTCTTTCTTTCTTTGGGTTCCTGCAAATCGATTGGTTGTGTTAAGGGGTGAAGCTTAGTTGTTAAGATAAGTGTGGAGAAGGCCTTTTTTTGGGTGTCATCATGAAAAAATGGATCTTTTTGAATAATGGAAAAGGGTATATAAATGATGGTTTTGAAATTTTGCTTATGCTGACTGAGGTTTTGCTTCAAATTTTTAGTAAAGCTGTGGTTATCCTTTGGCCCACTTGTTGTATCTTTTTTGCGTAATTGCTAACGCGTGTTTACACAAAGTTGACTTGGGCATGATGACATGGGAAAAGCAGAAAAAAAGATGGCACTTTTGCCACACACAAACCATATATCTCTGTTGAGACATGCGCTCCAAGGTTGGCACAAAGGTTCTCCCTGAAATTAGGGGCAGTCACTTAATTATTTTATTTGTTTTTGTATTAAATTTATAGATTCAAGGGAAAAAATACCGATTAATAGGAGTGAAGTGCACATTAGATGATGAACTTAGTTCTCATCTTAGTAAGATTTTATCTTAAAATTAAGAGTACGGGCTTAGTTGCTATCTTGGTGAGTAGCGTTGTCATCTTAGTGAAGTTTCATGATTTCATGCTAAAATCAACATTAATAGGACAAATATAGTGGCAATTTTAGTGAAGTTTCATCATAAAATCAATTAGATAATGAAAGAGTGATCCACTAAACTTATAAATTAGACTCGTTTTCTGTATTTTATTCAATGTACAAGTGATATTCCAGCACGTTTTTCACCAGTGAGTCAGAGCTCGGTTAACAGAGAGTTTATCACATGTCCTAGATTAGATATGCTCGGATACCATACTATATTAAATTTATTAATTGCTCTGATACCATATTAGATTTATATGTTAGAGGAATGGGTTTAGTCCTATATGTGAAGCACACCTTAAGAGAGCAAACTTAGTTGTCATCTTAGTAAGGTTTAATCTTAAAACGAATTGATAATAAGTGGAATTGTCATCTCTGCTTATAAACTAAACTCATTTTATTCTACAATGTGGGACAATTTAGAAATGTATTCAAACATTTGAAATGTAAAGAAAATTTTGGTACGAATGAACAGTGTTTTAAATACCGGTATGTACCGGTAATATCGGATCGGTGGTCCAATCGGTATGATTACCTCCAAAATACCGTTTTAGCAAAAATACCGGTTTATACCGACTTCACATCGAAAAATACCGGTTTTACCGGCCAAAATACCGGCTAAAATATTGGGCATACCGGATTTTTTAAAAAAAATATGTTTATAACATATTTTTATTAATTTATTTATATAAATAGAAAGTTCTACTCTTAAATTTAATATATTTACACTTTTATTTGATTTTAGATAATTTTATTATTTATTATAGTTAGTGTTATATATTATTTATATTACAATAATAGATTAATTTAATATTTTTTATAACCAGTAAAATAGACGGTAAAACCGATTGAACCGCGTACCGGTAGCTCGTCCGGTATGGTCACCGATATAGTATTTAAAACATTGCGAATGAAAGCAACAAAGGGGCCGGCAACAGGAATACAGGACATGAGTCATGAGTTGTGACCAATTTAGGGGTCCATTGCTAGAAAAAAAGAAAATTTTTGTATAAAATTAGGTAGCGTATTTAATTTTGTATCGGTAATTAGTTAATTAAACCGGGCTAGACAATGACATGCGGTTGACCGATTTCACCATTTATTTTATCGGCTTTAATAAATGTTAATTAAATTTATTATATCATAAAATTTTATATAAACCAACTTAATTAATATTAAAATAAATTATAAATGAAATCAAAACAAAAGAATAGTAACATTTCGGGTTAGAACTCTTAATTATATAAAATCGTATGCGAATCTATAAAATTGTAAAAATGGAAAGAGTTGTCCCTGAAACTTGGGATATAGTAGTTGATTTTTGCTTTTTGACAGCTTTTAATTTTGTTTTTAATTATTATTATTGATGTTTGTATTATCATGCTAAGTTTTCTGGGCAGCTTTATTCTTCTGGTGGGACTAGGATGTTCTCAATTATTTCCTTTAGGACAAGAGTAGGTAGTGAGTCATATTAAATTAATTTGTACTGTATTATCAGTTTTATAGTCCTATTAAGAGAAAATTAAGATTTGTGTTGTATTACTATTACCCTTTAATGCAGGCACGGAGCCAAATGAGGCTCAGGGGGGCCATGGACCCCCCTCATTTTTTAAGAAGTATATATATATATATATAAAGAAAATCAATATATATGTATAAAAATGCAAAAATTATAGACAATATATTAATAATTAAAATTTATTTGCTATGCTATTGTTATTTAAATTAATAATATTATTTATTTATTTAAATATATACTAACAATATTTATATTTTACAAGTTCATATAAGCTTTGAAAAAATTTATAATGATTTACTATTTCGGTATCTTAATTGTAAATCAATCTAGTGATTTATAAAATCGAGTCTTTAGTTGGATTGTTATATTTTTTAATATTGATTGTTTACCTTTTTGTTGTGTAATTACATATTTTTAACTATTTTTTTTCTTACAAAATGTTCATTTGATAAGCTCTCATCTACAAAAACATTATGCAATGTGCTGCAAAAGTAAAATTTAACCTAATTTTTCAACCAAAAAAACTTATTTTTCATAAATATAGATATTGCACTTAAATTATAAATACATGAAATTTCGTTTTTTTTTTTTTTAAGTTTAAGGGTGATACGGGTTGTAAGTATTTAAAAAAATAATGGTAATCATATTGATATTTACATTTACAGTAATTAATTTGTATATGAAATGAGTGTTTCGACTTAAATTATATTATTTAATATTTAAAATCGGACCCCCCTGAGTGAAATTTCTAGATCTGTCACTGC